TGCCTGTTTGATCTAAAACATTGATAAGCAGAGCCTTCTTCTGACTTAATGTGAAAGATATCTGAGCACTGCTGATAAAAGTTCACTCTTGAAATATAACTGTATATTCTTTTACTCAGATACATCTTGTAAGCAGACCTTGAGGTAAATGATTTTAAACATTAGAAATACTATAAAACTTGTACATTCTATAGAGGACATCAATTTATGATCACACACAATATAAGACCTGTGCATCTGTTTTTAGTGCATTCAAAAGGTTTAGAAAAATGATCCTTATGATATTTTAGTCCTAACCAGAGTTTACAACAGGCTTATTAATTGAAAGCCTGTAAAAGGCCAGTGGTTTAGTGACCTAGCATTGCATTCCATAAAGGCATTTGCATTACTAATATGATGAGTTGGACATACTCAGCTGTGAGATAGTGGATTGATGGCCATAACATTTTTATATAAATGTGTTTATATGAATTTACAGTATAAAAATGCCCAGTTATGTTTACAATGAACATCATCTTTTAATCCCAAATCTGATGAAACCTATGAATTACATGAGCATACAGTCTATAGTGGGAGAGAAACAGAAGAATGAGCAAAGCGTCAAATCATGACATTTTATACCAAATAACTGGATAGTTTTTCACTGTATATTTAATACCAGCTGCATTTCTCCCATGGAAGCTGGTCATACTGTGGACTGGGCCACACTTGCTGAGTAGAAACATTTTTTTAAGTACAAGTCATGCTATTTTACACCCCACTATAAAGTCAGACATGTGCTGAGTGTGGCACATTAGCTTGATCTACTGTACATGAACAATTTAATTCACTGTATGGTGATATACAGAGTGTTGTGTGGAGTGGTTTAGAAGCATTAAGTAGTGTGTCAAGGCCCGAGTGTTTATGTAACATTGGAAAGCTAATTCTAGCGATCACTGCAAGGCAGAATTAGCTTGTGGAGGCCACCTCAGCGATTTTTCCATGCTTTATGTGTGTGTGTGTGTGTGTGTGTGTGTGTGTGTGTGTGTGTGTAAATACAGTGTGTAATAAAGCTGTGCTTTTGTTTTTATTTAGAATTGCAACCTCTGCCATTTAGCTATTAATTTTTCAGAAGTAGCTTTCAAAAAAACAATATTCTGCTCTTGCTCAGATTAAAACAATAATTATAATAAAAATCAAAGTCATTCCAGGACATCTGCTTGTCAGAGGGTTTATCTGAGTGCATACTGGCTGACAACAGGTACACGATGTAATATCAAATGAGTTTCCGCTTAGCTTGCGGTGATAGCAGCTTGATTTTGTTCAGCATTCTTTTAATTTCAAGGAGTTTTATGGCAAAACACAAAAAAAAAAACCCTAAAAAAACCCTCCTGTGACTACCTGCCCAAAAACACATATACAGTCACCACAGCATCAGTGGGAATGCAACTACTGGGACACATGACTCTGTAGTCGACAAGGGTCATTATCCACTTTGCCTCGGCACGTCTCGTCTTGGAAACAACAGGAAAACCAAACTCAGATAAACCTGCAAACGTACTCAATGACGCACACGTTGCCATCACTTCAGCAATTACCAACATCTGAATTTATCCTCTGATAATTTCAGCGATTCTTTGCCGTCACAGACATAAATTCCATCCATCCTCATTCAATCAGTGCTCTAGCATAGTTCAGTCTACACCGAGTTTCTATACTATACTACTACACTTAACAGAAGTAAATATGAAGAAATAACGCTGAACGTCTCACTAGCTTCTATGCTGCTTTGTTTACAGCTCTGTTTACGCACGTATTTGGCATCACCAACATGATGATATCAAATATGACGTACCAGAGGGGAAACAAGCTCATCTGCTGGAGAGCCGAGCCCGGTCGGTCAGCAGTGGGAATGCTGGCACAAGCCGGTCTAGCTGGCTATAAAAAAACCCATGTATACACATTACTTTTGGTGGGAAAGCGGTAAATAAGTGTTTGTACGGTAAATGCTGGATACAGATATTTTTCCAATACTTTTCTCATGAGCAGCAGAAAACATTAAAAGAAATCCAAAATACTCAAAGACCATTTTTACATTACTTGATGTTTATTTGAGTGATTTTCACTACATGTTTGACCCTCACTAATATGATTTTCTAATCATGTCTCAATACTAGGAAAAGATTCAGTTCAGCAGTTTTTCCCAGAAGTATCACAGTATCTTCTAATCCTAGAAAAATGATCCAACAGCTTCCAAAGAAACTAGAATAAATGATTTGCACAACCTTAAAAACGGCAGGTTTCTCCAGCATTGTGACTTCCCAGCAGTTTAAGGCAGCATACATCCTCAGTAAACCTATTTCTGGTTCTGTTTGCAATGAAAAAATGTGTCCGTGCCTTTGTGTGCAGATTACCTGTGGAGTGAAGAACTGGATTGCATTGTATGGCCCTTACTCAGAAATGCTTCCTGGAAGAGTGGAAAAGCTTTTAAACATGTTATTAGAGCCCACAAGTCTCTGCTTACACTGTGTCTTGATTAAAAGAGGAGTGTTCTGTCATAGTTTGCTGGCAATAGTTCAGGGTTCATCTGAGCACACTAAACTTCTGTGATACATATTGCTGTTTGATTAATTAATTTAATATATATAACCATACATATTTCACTGAATAGTAGTTATATCATATTACCTGGTCACTGAGTTCATGGGTTACTAGAACTGGCTAACCACACAAAATGGAAGCACAAATCACAGAAATGTGCCACCGTGTTACTGGATGTAACATGTAAATGTAACAGCAGAAAGACAGAATATCTGTGTTTGTGTTTGCAGACTAAGCTGGACTTTGCTTGCTGAGGAGCGGGAGGTTATTGTAGTTTACTGACTATGTCACTACATCCTCAGTTGTGAGGTTTTTTTTTAACATTTCTCTGGAACCAAAAACATTTGTAACTTTATCTTTCATAAGAATGGCAGCATGGGAAATTTATTTGAGTAATTACACCCACTTAGAGTTGCATCATTGTTTTGCCTCACACTGATGGTTGAGATCTAGCATTACCTCTGAAATGTGGGTTTTCTCTGTCTGTGTTTGTGTACTAATAGTGTATAAATGAAAGAAATCATTTCTGTGTGTGTGTGTGTTTTGCCTGAATACACATACAGATACTCATATTTACACACACACTGGCACGCCCAAAAATGTCCAACCGCTTGCAGTGCCACATGGTTTCATTGAAAACCAAGAGGGAAGGAATTCTAAACTTTGCATTTAATTTGATGTAACAGTTTCATGAGTCTGTGCTTCATCCTCAAATCATGTTAAGATGTTTAGCGTTTTTAAAGGCTCATCCACTGCTTACTGCTTACACTCAGTCGTTCCTGCCTGGCCGTTAATGAATGCGGGTGATTTCCATAAAATATTCTTAAAGAGGGCCATTATTATTACCATAACGTTTCATCTCCCACCATAGCTAAACTTCAATCAGTTTTGCATTTGAAATGCATTATATGTCTCTATAAACTATTCTAATCTCTACCCAAGTCATTTTTCTTCTTTAACTGGAATGTGTAGAGAGGGAAACTAATATTAAAGAGATTAATTATACTGTTCTGTTTTCCCCCCCCACCCTTTTGCCATTTACTTCTGAGTGGAAATTTTAGTCTCATCCAGTATTTCAAAACAAGTGTGTAATTATGTTGTTTAGCACAGCGTATAGTTGTATCCCTCTTATGATGTTTAGGGTTAATTACTTCAAGGCCTTTGATGCGCATGTTCATGAAAACTGAAAAATCCCTATTAATTTTACACTCCAACAAACTAGTCTTGCGTCAATAGAAATGACTGCGGAGCTGGTACTGAGTTATGGTATTGTATGATGTCTTCATTTAAATACCAGGGCCCACACACATACTGCATGTTCCACTTGCACCTCTCGCAGTGGGTTGTGCCACCTTGCAACTAGCTTCTCGGGCAGAATAATCTTGACTGCAGCTTTCAACTTTTGTAAAAATTAAAAACTTGAATTTTCAGTCCCTAACACTCAAAACCAGGGATGAACATCAGCACTGGCAATGTGGACCTCAGTTAATATTTTTAATAGGACTAGAGTATGTTTGTGTGTTGGTATGTGCAGTTTTACCCAAAGCAATATTTAAGAACAGCATCTGCTATA